AGATAAGGAAGGACACTACATAATGATCAAGGGACCAATCCAAGAAGAAGATATAACAATTATAAATATTTATGCACTCAACATAGGAGCACCTCAATACATAAGGCAAATGCTAACAACCATAAAAGGGGAAATCGACAGTAACACAATAATAGTAGGGGACTTTAACAGCCCACTTACACCAATGGACAGATCATCCAAACAGAAAATGAGGAAACGCAAGCTTTAAATGACACAGTAGACCAGATAGATTTAATTTATATTTATAGAACATTCCACCCGAAAGTGGCAGAATACACTTTCTTCTCAAGTGCATACAGAACATTCTCCAAGGGAGATCACATCTTGGGTCACAAATCAAGCCTCAGAAAATTCAAGAAAACTGAAATCGTATCAAGCACCTTTTCTGACCACAATGCTATGAGATTAGAAATCAATTACAGGAAAACCTGTAAAAAAAACCAAATACATGGAGGCTAAACAGTGTGCTACTAAATAACCAAGACATCACTGAAGAAATCAAAGAAGAAATCAAAAAATACAAAGAGGGCTTCCCTGGTGGTGCAGTGGTTGAGAGTCCGCCTGCTGATGAAGTGGACATGGGTTCATACCCTGGTCCGGGAAGATCCCACATGCCGCGGAGCGGCTGGGCCCATGAGCCATGGCCATTAAGCCTGCGCATCCGGAACCTGTGCTCCACAACGGAAAAGAAAAAAAAAGGAAATAACCGAAAAAAAAAAAAAAAAAAAAAAAAAAAACAAAGAAATAAATGACAATGAAAACACAACAACCCAAAACCTATGGGATGCAGCAAAAGCAGTTCTAAGAGGGAATTTTATAGAAATTCAATTTCACCTCAAGAAACAAGAAAAATCTCAAATAAACAATCTAACCTTACACCTAAAGCAACTAGAAAAAAAAGAACACAGAAAACCTGAAGTCAGTAGAAGGAAAAAATCATAAAAATCAGAGCATAAATAAATGAAATAGAAATGAAGAAAACAATTGCAAAGATCAATAAAACTAAAAGCTGGCTCTTTGAGAAGATAAACAAAATTGATAAACCTTTATCCAGACTCATCAAGAAAAAAAGAGAGAAGACTCAAATCAATAGAATCAGAAATGAAAAAGGAGAAGTAACAACTGACACTGCAGAAATACAAAGGATTATAAGAGAATACTACAAAAAACTATATGCCAATAAAATGAACAACCTCGAAGAAGTGGACAAATTCTTGGAAAGGTAAAATTTTCCAAGACTGAACCAGGAAGAACTAGAAAATATGAAGAGACTTATCTCAAATAATGAAATTGAAACTGTAATTAAAAATATTCCAACAAACAAAAGTCCAGGACCAGATGGTTTCACTGGCGAATTCTATCAAACATTTAGAGAAGAGCTAACACCCATCCTTCTCAAACTCTTCCAAAAAATTGCAGAGGGAGGAACACTCTCAAATTCATTATATGAGGCCACCATCACCCTGATACCAAAACCAGACAAAGATATCACAAAAAAAGAAAATTACAGACCAATATCATTGATTAACATAAATGCAAAAATCCTCAACAAAATACTAGCAAAAAGAATTCAACAACACCTTAAAAAGATTGTACACTACGATCAGGTGGGATTTATCCCAGGGATGGAAGGATTCTTCAATATATGCGAATCAATCAATGTGATATACCATATTAACAAGGAATAAAAACCATATGATCATTTTAATAGATGCAGAAAAAGCTTTTGGCAAAATTCAACACCGATTCATGATAAAAACTCTCCAGAAAATGGGCATAGAGGGAACCTACCTTAACATAATAGAGGTCATCCACATATGACAAACCCACAGCAAACATCATACTCAATGGTGAAAAACTGAAAGCATATCCACTAGGATCAGGAACAACACAAGGATGTCCAGTTTCGCAAGGCAAGGATGTCCACACTCGCCACTCTTATTCAAGATAGTTTTGGAAGTTTTAGCCATGGCAATCAGAGAAGAAAAAGAAATAAAAGGAACACAAATTGGCAAAGAAGAAGTAAAATTATCACTGTTTGAAGATGACATGATACTATACACAGAAAATCCTAAAGATGCCACCAGAAAGCTACTAGAACTAATCAGTGAATTTGGTAAGGTTGCAGGATACAAAATTAATGCACAGAAATCTGTGGTGCTCCTATACACTAACAAGGAAAAATCAGAAAGAGAAATTAAGGAAACAACCCTATTTACCATTGCAACAAAAAGAATAAAATACCTAGGAATAAACCTACCTAAGGAGGCAAAAGACCTGTACTCAGAAAACTATAAGACACTGATGAAAGAAATCAAAGATGACATACACAGATGAAGAAATATACCATGTTCCTGGATTGGAAGAATCAATATTGTGAAAATAACTATACTACCCAAAGCAATCTACAGATTCAATGCAATCCCTATCAAATTACCAATAGCTTTCTTCACAGAATTACAACAAAAAATTTCATAATTTGTATGGAAACACAAAAGACCCTGAATAGCCAAAGCAATCTTGAGAAAGAAAAACAGAGCTGGAGGAATCAAGCTCCCTGACTTCAAACTATACTACAAACCTACAGTAATCAAGAGAGTATGGTACTGGCAAAACAGAAAACAGAAATATAGAGCAATGGTACAGGCTAGAAAGCCCAGAGATAAACCCATGCACATATGGTCACCTAATTTATGATGAAGGAGGAAAGAACATACAATGGAGAAAAGACAGCCTCTTTAATAAGTAGTGCCTGGAAAACTGGACAGCTACATGTAAAACAATGAAATTAGAGCACAACCTAACACCATACACAAAAGTAAACTCAAAAAGGATTAAATACCTAAATGTAAGACCGAACACTATAAAGCACTTAGAGGAAAACATAGGAAGAACACTCTTTGACATAAATCACAGCAAGATATTTTATGACCCACCTCCTAGAGTAATGAAAATAAAAAACAAAAATAAGCAAACGGGACCTAATGAAACTTAAAAGCTTTTGCACAGCAAAGGAAACCATAAACAAGACGAAAATAAAACGCTCAGAATGGGAGAAAATATTTGCAAATGAAGCAATGGACAAAGGATTAATCTCCAAAATATACAAACAGCTTATGGAGCTCAATATCAAGAAAACAAACAACCCAATCAAAAAATGGGCGGAAGATCTAAATAGACATTTCACCAAAGAAGACATACAGATGGCCAAGAGGCCCATGAAAATATGCTCAACATCACTAATTATTAGAGAAATGCAAATCAAAACTACAATGAGGTATCACCTAACACAAGTCAGAATGGCCATCATCAAAAAATCTACAAACAATAAATGCTGGAGAGGGTGTGGAGAAAAGGGAACCCTCTCGCACTGTTGGTGGGAATGTAAATTGATACAGGCACTGTGAAGAACAGTATGGAGGTTCCTTAAAAAACTAAAAATAGAATTACCATATGATCCAGCAATCCCACTACTGGGCATATACCTTGAGAAAACCATAATTCAAAAAGACACAGGTACCCCAATGTTCATTGCAGCACTATTTACAATAGCCAGGACATGGAAACAACCTAAATGTCCATCAACAGATGGATAAAGGAGATGTGGTACATATACATAATGGAATATTACTCAGCCATAAAAAGAAATGAAATTGGGTCATTTGTAGAGATGTGGATGGTCTAGAGTTTGTCATACAGAGTGAAGTAAGTCAGAAAGAGAAAAACAAATATCGTATATTGACGCATATATGTGGAATCTAGAAAAATGGTACAGATGACTCTATTTGCAGGGCAGGAATAGAGAGGTAGACATAGAGAACGAACATGTGGACACAGAGGGGGAAGAGGAGGGTGGGATGAACTGGGAGATTAGGATTGACATATATACACTACCATGCATAAAAAATAGCTAGCTAGTGGGAACATGCTATAAAGCACAGGAAGCGCAGCTCGGTGCTCTGTGACGGGTGCTCCGTGATGGGTGTGATGGGGCAGGGAGTGGGAGGGAGGTCCAAGAGGGAGGAGATATAGGTATACATATAGCTGATTCACTTCATTGTACAGCAGAAACTAAGCCAACATTGTAAAACAATTCTACTCTAATGGAAAGAATATGATAGAAGAATGAAAAACAAATAGCCAATTGTGCCTTCTATACACAGAGAATAATACAAGACAAAAATTCTTGCCCTTATGGAACTTCTGTTCTTATGGAATATAATAGTTATATCAATAAATGTAAATGGCATAATATGTCCCCTTAAAGACTCCTAGATTTAATAAAAACCAACAAACCCCCCAAATTTATGCTATATATCAATATGAATTCAAAACAAAAGGACTCAGAAAGAATAAAAGACATTATCAGGCAAATGAAAACAAAAAGAAAGAAAGCAGGGTTGAGATACTAAGTACAGGTAAGTTTAATTTAAAGACAAATTAACTGAGCAAAAATATCTAGATTGTGTGGAGGAATATGCTTCTTAGTATCCTTGATACTAATGCAACACCAGAGGTATCTTTGCTCGTGGAGAGTCCCCAATAACAGGTATTGACAAATAACAAAGAGAGAAGAAAAGTAGGAGCTAATAAAAGGAAAAAGTGACATAAAAAGATGTTTTTCTATTGGAAAATGATAGAATCCACCAATTATTGGCTGAGGTAAAGCTCAGTAGTATAAGTACCACACATGATCTTTTTGATTCTTTTCAACAAAAATCTAACACCAAATGCCATGTGGGTTCCATCTCTACTTGCACTAACTGTGTGATGTTAAGCAAGTCATTTAACCAATTTGGAATTCAGTTTAATCACTTGTAAAATGAGGTGGTGGGATGCAATGACCTTTCAGGTGAAATATATCTTTAATCCTGTGATTTTACTGTTATCAAAATATATAGGACCTTGGTGTTTCAAATATATATGGAATACTGACTTAAACATAAAATATATTTGGAAGAAATTATTCTTGACTGCACCTTTCACTTTTCAGTGTTACAACCTCCTGCTTTGTCTGATTCAGAAGAGTTTTGGTTATTTCCAGTTCATTTTCTGCAAGATTAATTCTTCTTTTTAAGTCAGCTTCTTGCCTTTCTTTTGCAGTCAGTTCTTCCTGTAAAGTTTTATATATTTGTTGACAAGTCATTAAAGAGTCTTCCTTTTCTTTAAGCAATCTGGTGTGCCTAAAATGGAATAAGAAAAAAACCCAACCAATATGCATTAAATACTATGTTTTTATGTTTATCAAAGATATATAAATATCTCATTTAAAACTAAAGAGTATAACTTTAATTTTTAAAATAAGAACGTTATGTAAATGAATAGTTCTGCGATTTAAACATTTTCCCATCCAGGCAAAGGCAAAATCAATGAATAGCTTCAATATATTATAAACTTGAATTAGGTATTGTTTATGTAAACAATACAATAAGAAAAGCTAAGTACATTTTAAATGTTATTTAAAATATGGTTTCAAATTCAATTACTAAAACTATTAAATAAAAAATTTGCAGTGTATACCGTGACTCAGAAATAATGGATTCGAACTTCAGTTTTCTAAGTTCTCTTTGACACTCATCAGCTTCATTAGATTTATTCCTAAAATAATACAAAAGAGGTTCAAATATTTTATTTCAAAATAGTTGAAGTGTAATTTTTTTCCCTTTTATAAAAACAGGTTTTTCCTTTATTACTTTTCCTATCTTTATATTGTATTTGTGGTTACATATGCAGATTTCCTTGAAATTAGAAATATATAGTCAAAGGGTTTTTGTTTGCCAAAAAATAACCTAATCTGTTAGTCCAATTATATGTGCTTTTCCATATCATTACTTTACTCATCCATAAAAAAATTTCTTAGCATCTTCACATTATTATTTCTTTAAAGAAATAAATATTCAGTCCACTTCTATAATGGCCAAGTAATCTCCTGTCAGACTGATCTGCATTTAACTAAAATGTCTAAGCTTTAGACAACATTTAAAAAGCAAACAAAAGAAAATACCCCTATGTGAAAGTGACCAAAAGCACGAAGATTCTGGAGGAAAGTTGACACTGAGAATGAGGTGACAGCCATGGGGTCAGGGTTTTTTGTTGCTTTTTTTAAAAAATGATTTTAAACCTGAGGGCAGGCCCCAGTCTGCACCATACAGGAGAACCAAAATTCTGATAGAAAACTGGTAGAAAACTCACAGTCATTCTGGCTTGAAGAACTACAAGACAGTGTTTGGGGACAACCACAGCTGCAGGAAAGTGAAAAGTGAACCCCAAATGGGAGTGAGCTAGTGGGAGGGAATCCCAAATACTGCATATAAACTCTGCCCATATGTCTGGCTGAGCCCTGAACTACAGGTGCCCTGGGCAGACTCCAAGCAGCCTAGTTAAAGATGAAAAAACTGAACTGAGATTTGAGCTGTTGCCATAGAGACAGAGTTTGTATTTTGAGGCCAACCAAATTAATTGTCTGCTTAAAGCAACACCACCCCTACCACCACCACCAACAGTATTTAGAGAAATATAACAGAATCTAGAATTTCCATAACATAACATTCACAATGTCCAGAATATAAAAAAATTACTCAACATAGGAAGACATAGAAAAGCATGACCTATTCTAAAGAGAAAAGACAGTTAATAGGGACTGACTCTGAGATGACCCGGATACTGAAATTAGCAGACAAGGATTTCTGAAGGCACAGTTATAACTCGCTCAAAGACATAAAGGAAACTCTACTTTAATTCGTGAAAAGATGAAAAACCTCAGCAGAGAAATAGAAACCATTAAAAAGAACGAAATGGAAATTCTAAAACTGAAATAGACATTTGTCTTGATCTTATATGATTCGGTTTTGTAACAATACTCAAAAATTTAACATATTAAGAAAGATTAATATTCCAGTTTGTTTGTATAGACTTCTCATTAATAATTTATTATATGAATGTACCTTAAAATAGCTTTGAAAGCTAATTTAATAAGTTTATAAATGTACAAAAAATGTTAGATTCTTAATGGGTTTGCCCTACTTGCAGAATAACTTTAATTCCTAATAAACAATAATTTATTTATATCATGAATACTAACAGCATTTATCTTTATTCATTTATTTTCTTTTCTAGCTTACAATGATAAAATTGTAAGCTACAGAAAATTACATAAACAATTATATGATGAATTATTACAAGGAAGAAACTTTTGCAACTACCATCCATGTAAAAAAATAAAACCTAATCAGCTAGCCTAGAAGCTTCATGTCCTGGGCCCAATAATAGCCAACTCCCTCCTCCCTAAATTGATCATTCTCATGAATTTTATGGTAATCACTGATTTTCTTTGGAGTTGTATTGCCCAAGTTTTATCCCTAAACAATATACTTTAGTTCTACTTTTTCTTTTATGAAAAAATGTTTTTAAAAACATGTTGTTTCCTTTATTATCCACTTTTTGTAAAATAGTTTTAAGTATTATATTAACATACAATAAACTGCCCACAATTTGGCAGATCTGACATACGTACAAGCCCATGAAACCATCATCGTAATCAAGCAGCACATGAGCATACTTAGAGCCTAGATACTGGTCTCTAATACCATTCACATTCAAAGGAACAAGGACTACTCAGAGAAATGGGTGATTCCAAGGCTGGGGCAGAGTAGCTATACCTGAAACAGTTTGTTATACCGAAAGTAAGGAAGTGCTTATGAAAGAGGACGGGATCATGTTCCAACGTCATAAGAGCCAGCCGGAAGTGGCCCCCAGTGGCTAAGCTTAGAACAATTTGTGTGCCAAAATAATTAAGTACAATAATGAATTATAAGCCATTGAACAAAACAGGAGTTCATGAATCCATACCAATAAGTAAATAAATAATGGGAAGAAGGGAGGCTCCTATTTAAAGTAGAATGCTGAGGGCTTACTAATAAATGGTCAGGGAGACTTGGAGTTGGAAAAATCATCATCTAGCAATGACTGTCATAAAGATTAGGTGAGGTAAAAATTATTAATGGATGCTGTATCTAGGAATAAGTGTTGATGAAAAGCAGAGCATGTGTATGTACCTAAAGTGTCTCTTATAGACTGCTTACTGGTTGAAAGGGAACAAAACCCCTCAGTAATAATACAGTGGGAAAATTGAGCACTACCTTGACCAGGTGATCAAAATTAACATCACCAATGAGAGGCAGATGATCATGTGCCTCCAGATGTGGTGCTCTGAGAAGTGCTCGTTCTCACCTATGTGGTTTTCTGGCTGAGAGTACATATCCTTAATCCAATCAAGAGGAAACCAGAAAAATACAAAATGAAAAAAATTTTATTTAAAAAAGTATGAGGGGTTCTGCATTCTTCAAAAATGTCCATGTCATAAAAAGACAAAGATGGACTGGAAATATTCCAGATTTAAGGAGGCTAAAGAGACATACCAAGTAGGCTGACCCTACGTGGACTATGTGCTAGAGGAGAAAATATTATAAAGGCCCACTCAGAAAATTAGAATATGGATGCTAGATTAGAATATTATTAATGTAATTATTGTATGTAAAATTATAACATTGATTACCCTCCTGGTTATATGAAGTATCACTGTCCTGAGGAAAGGCAGGCTAAACTATTTAGAAGTAAAGGGTCGTGCTGTATGTAACTTATCCTCAAATGGTGCAGGAAAATTTGTGTGTGGGTTTCAGGGGGAGAGAGAGAGAGAGAGAGAGAGAAAAGGTTGAGGGGACAGGGGTAGGGGTGAGGGGAAAAAACAAATGGGTTAAAACATTAATAATAGATGAATCTGGGTAAAGCCTATTTGTGTGCTCTTTGTACTATCATCATGTTTACAACTTTTTGTAAGTTTGAAATTATTTCCAAGTAAAACATTAGAAAATAAAGAATAAGGAAAAGAGTTACATGCCATTAAAAAGTGAGCAAAGGTTGTACTCAGGTGAGTCACAAAGGAAAGAATACAAAGAGCCAAAGATGCAGGGGTACAAGTTTTCATTAAACTAGGATTTTTTTTTTTTTCTTAGTTATACTACCCAGTATTAGCTAGGAAGTGGAGAAATAGGTATTTACAAACACTGCTGAAATTATAAATCAATAAAATCTTATTGCAAGGTAATGAGTCATTATGAATTAATAGTCTTAAAAATATGCAAGTTTGAGTCCAGCAAAAATTATCCTAAGGAAATAACTGCATGTGAATAGAAAGATTTATCTCTGTGAATTTCAAAATACCTTGCTTATAAAAGTGAAAAATTTGGAAATTTTAAAACACAAGGGATTAGAAAATAAGTTATGATTCATCCACAGATTAGAATACTACATAGCTATTTGATAACTATAAATATATCATGTAATGACATGGGAAAATATCCAGGATATATTACTAAGTGAAAATATGTTTAAAATATGCATTACTTAGAAAAATGGACTATAAGGATATCGAAATATAAAGATGATGGTTTTTTTTGTGGATTCCCGTATTTGCCAAGTTTTATACATTTACTTTTAAGTCAGACAACAATGTTCCTTTTAGAAATGCTTTGAGATTCAGCAGCCCCAGCCACAACTTTCACTCTATGTTCAGACTCTTATACACACTTTTCCAAATCTAGAGTCAGGGACAGCAGAACACCTTTAAGTGGTTATTTTACTATGTGGCCAATACATTTTGGCTGCAATTTAAGAAAAAAAGGTTCCTGGGCAGTCTACCATCCCAAGAACTCCCCTCACTATGGTCATCTCCCACCCCCACGCCAGTTAAGCCACTCTTTTTATGGTCTGCCCTTCACTGCCCAACTGTTATCTTCCCCTTCATTAGGATGGGAGGAATTGGAAGGAACAGAAAGAATGCCTACATCTCTTTAAACACTGCATTCCTTCTTTTACCCTCAGCAAATAGTGTTAATCCTTTCTCTTCAACTGCTTTGAATAAGCCTTCAGAAAGGCCCCTGCTGCTCCTGCCAATCAAAGCAAAGGAAATAAGATAGAGTAGTTGGATATTTTCCTCTAATTTGAAAGGCAAGGGTCATACCATTCCACTTCTTTATGTGAAATAGCCATTCTTAAACTGCCTCTTTGATATTTCTACTTTGCTGTCCAAAAGGCATCTCAAATCTAACAGATCAAAAGCATTGTTTTGTATTTCCCTCACCCCCCTATCTATTTCTTTTACAAATTTTCCCACTTCGTGAAATGGCACCAACTCATAATGATACTAATAGGTAACACCTTATATATCTCACACGAAGCTCAAGCCTGCCCTTACTCAGCCCTTGTTACAGTTGAGGAAACTGAAAACAGAGAGGTAAGTAACATGCCCAAGGTGACATAATGCTAAGTAGTACTGCCCCAGCAGTCTGGATTTGGCTTCCAGGCTGTTAGTCACTATACTCTACTGCCTCTCAACTGTCTACCTGATGCTGAAAAGCCCCAAACCCCATCCTTTATTATTTCCTTTCTTTTCCAGCCCTCTTCCTCCCCGGCCACATCTACTCCATCAGTAAATCCTGTTAGAGCGACCCCTGGCATATATTTCTCTCCATCTCCACACTATAGCCTTACACTAAACCAGCCACTTCTCACTTGCATGTACGCTGGGCCTCCCACCTAGTCTCCCTGATCGCTCTTGCACTCCCACTTCAGTCCATTCTCCATGCAGCAGCCACGCCACCCTTTTAAAACAAATCAAATCAGTTCTCTCTATTGCCAAACCTCCAAGAGTTTCCCTCTGCCCTCTGCATAAATCCAAAATCCTCACTGGGCTTTGGACACACTGGTATATTCATTTCTTATTGCTGCTGTAACAAATTACCACAAATGTAGGGGTTTAAAACAACACAAATTTATTATCTTACATTTCTAAGGTAAGAAGTCCTAAAATCAAGATGTCTTGAGGGCTGTGTTCCCCCTGGAAGCTCTAGAGGAGAATCTGTTTTCCTGCCTTTTCTAGCTTCTAGAGACCACATGCATTCCTTGGCTTGTGGCCCCTTCTTCCATCTTCAAATCACATTACTCCAACCTCTGCTTCCATCCTCACATCCACTTTTGTGACTTTGACCCTCTTGCTTTCATCTTATAAGGACCTTTGCAGTTATAACATTGAGCCTGCCTGAATAATCCAACATAATCTCTGCAGCTCTATATCCCTAATTTAAACATGTGCAAAATCCCTTTTGCCACATAGGATAATGTACTCACAGATTTCAGGGATTAGGACATGAAAATCTTTGGAAGCCGTTATTCCATCTACCACAACTGGCCTTCATGTTCCTTTAACTTGTAAAACTCACTCCCAAGAATTTTTTGTCCTTGATCTCTCTGCTTCCGGATGTTAGCTTATTAGCACTGTTAGCTCCTTTCTGTAACTCAGATCTTAACTCAAAGGTCATCTGGGGCTTCCCTGGTGGCGCAGTGGTTGAGAGTCCGCCTGCCGATGCAGGGGACACGGGTTCGTGCGCCGGTTCGGGAAGATCCCACATGCCGCAGAGCGGCTGGGCCCGTGAGCCATGGACGCTGAGCCTGCACGTCCGGAGCCTGTGCTCCGCAACGGGAGAGGCCACAACAGTGAGAGGCCCGCATACCGAAAAAAAAAAAAAAAAGGTCATCTGCCCAGGGATGCCACTCTATCAAAAGGATACCACTCTTCCCCAACACTCACATTCTTTTATGCCTGTTTTATATTTTTGCAGCACTTAACGTTACCTGAAATTACCTATTGTAGCTTGTCAATCTTGTTACTTCAGTATCTAGTGCTTGTACACAAAAGAGTTATGGCACATAACTGCCTCTCCATGAGCATTTTGTATTGAATGAGTCAATGAAGGAAACCTAGCCTGTTAAATCTAGGATCATGTGAAAGTGTATCTGTACTCTGACACTGGATTGCCACCAGGCCACCTGCTTTCTAGGCAAAAAATTCTCATGAATGATGACAGAAGAGGAAAATCAGGAGAACATTATATCTTAGAAGGCAATAATAATGTTCCAAGAACATCTCAACTGTGCAAAATGTTGCTGTTATTTGGTCAAGAGCTTTATAAACAAGAAATTTATGCTGGTTATGGCTGATTATTGCTTACAATTATTAGTTAAATGAGGAGGAGGTGGCTGCTAATAAAATTAAAGTGTAAGCATGTAACAAAGTTCCCCAAATTAGAAAGTATATTTCATATCACCACTTTAGACATATTCACTAGTAACTGATAAATTATAAATCATTTAAAGTGAATTTTGTTCTTTTCATTACATATGTGAAAATGAATACATTCACACTGTAAGCTATTTAAGCAATATATAAGTATATAGAGTAAAATAAGAGTCTCTATACACCCCTGACTCTCACTTCCAGAAGGAACTGTTGTAATCCTACCAATCATTTATTCAATGAATTTGAATCCATACATATTTGTATGTACATTCATATACATTTTTAACATGAATGGAATCATTTTTCTGGAGTCATATTTTTAATCTCTAAAATTCCTAATAGTTTTTTTTTGGTAACATCCTGTTCTTCTTTAATGGTTACAATCCTGGACATACTTTGAAGTATATCCTAACTTTAAAAATTTATCTTAACATCTTCTGTTTGCTATTTAACAATTTCTCTAGGTGTTAAAGCTTTTCTGTGTGAATTCAAAGCCATGTGAACAAGGCTGGGGGAAGGTTTTTCTCACATATCTGGTAATCTTTGGTTGGGTGTTCATCCTAAGCCTAAGATTCTGGTTTGTTGTCTGCTTTGCTGTTTATTGTTGCCCTAGATTGTTTCTGAA